TATGCGGGTTGTTCAAGATCCCGGTGGCTTTCACGAACAAAACCATTCTTGCAGCAAATAATTGTAACGTTAAAAAATAATTAAAATAAATAATAATTATAGTAAATAATTAAAATAAATAACAATTATAGTAATTATATAAAAAAAAAATTAAGCCAACCAGGATCTTATTTTAATCAGATTGCTGAGATCAGTGACCTTTGATGTGTGATCAGTCAAGTAGAAACAGTCAAATATTTTATCAGATTTTCTCAATTTGTGCATGATATTTTCATACAGGACATCTGTTGCTAAAACTCAGGGAAGACTTTATACTGATGAATAAGGTGACCAAGTTTGGTAAAGTTTGGAATAGAATTAGTAAAGTTATTATGCACACAATAACAGTTATTAACGACGACGACGACAACAACGACAACGCCGGACAAAATTTTTCCCTTAATATACCTTTCCCTTCCATCTTTGATGGTACGGGCAAGGTAACAAATGACTTGAGGAGTACACACGATAACGTAGATGGTTTACAGTGTCACTATAGCACATTGAATAAATGACTTGATGAGTACACACGATAACGTAAATGGTTTACACTGTCACTATAACACATTATCAACACAAACAGTTTTAACGACATCTACGATGAAATAGTATTGTGATACATTTATTGTTGTCTTGATTAATTAATTAATATTCATCATAATAATAATAATTATTGTTTCGCATACGTCATGGGTAAATAATTTTGTACCAATGACATTAGGCATTTTTTGCAATTTTGTGAAAACATTTTGTGGTTGGATTCGGACAGCCACATTTTGAAATTTCAACGTAAACTTATTGCTGAAACACTTCAAACGTATTTACAGGTGTGTACTTCTGGTATTTACAGAAGTTTTTAGATTGTCAAAAAGGCACAGACATTGTATAAATAATATAATCTTGTCCACAGGGTTAAGTGTAGACTACACCACATTAAACAACTGTTACATTTCAAAAAGGGATTGCAATAATATTATTGCGTCTTGCAAGCAGATGGATGTCAACCAATCAGTGACTGTATGATTAACGAATCACGAGATTAGAAAGGCAGGATTGAATGTTTCAATCTATTTCTATAAAGACTGGAGCGGAAAAAAATATTCATGGCATGTATAGACACATAACTCAGAAATTACTCATTAAATTGAAATAAACGCTGATAGATATATTAAGTCTGTAAATATTCAGAAAATATCAAAATAAAAAAAACCTATGACTATGGTATGATTAGTTTTTAATTATATGTAATAACATTTTTCTCCCATAATGCATTGTGTATACGTGCAGTAATGTCCAGTAGTACAAAATTTGAATTCGGCTCGAACTGTCTTACTAGTAAGTCAACTTGAACTTAAGAATCGGTTTCTTCTTTCGCAATCGATATGGTTATATGACCGAAATTATTCGTGATTGTCATGGTCACGGTCTTATTTTCATCTTCAGCCTCCTCTAAAAGTGCCTGCCATGACAACGTTTCAGGGGAGACCGACTCCTTTGGCGGACCACATCTAAACAAACAACATCAAACTAATATTAGAAAATATTAAGATAAATACATTCATCAGAGATACTAGTACATCCTTGATAAGGTCAATGACTTAGAAGTCTGGATTGAAACATTAGTTCCCACAACAATTAATATCCCAGACATGCCTGAATCAAGTTCAAACTACACACACACACACATCATGAAATGTATATGCACATGTATTTATTTCACAATAAGATTCAAAATGGCCCTACAGTGGTCATTTAACACTAGTCTACATGGTGTGTGTTGGGTTGAACATGTCAAACGCATCCCATGTCAGCAGTCACATTCATACCTGATTATTTCTTTGACATCGTCTACAGATACAAACGTTGGTCTTCTACGGACATTTTTAGTCACATTGCATTTGTTTTTCTGCTTCATCGTTTCAAAATTGAGTGTGTATTCAGATTTTCCAGCGGTGAATGAGACTATTGCTCTGCCGTCTGTATCTAGTAGATATTTCTGATAATTCCTCTCCAGTTTCTCATTATTATTGTTAGATAACAATCCTGGCTGAAATTAAAGTTTATTCATACACTGACAGCAATGTCACATGTCTGGTAAATGTATATCATTGTTTCAAAAATGTATGATAAATATTTTGGTTAACTATTTTGCTGATAATTGGGAAACATTGATGACTTCAGCGCCAACAGCTGTCTATTCTACACATGTTTGAACACCATTGATTATATTTTCGCAAATTCAATCTGGAAATATTTATGGACGAAAACATATATTTGTTTAAATATTATTGTTCAATACATCGTATTGTAGAATAAATCAAATTATTATACATCTGTCACCGTAACGCCATAAGTGCGGTATTTTTCGGGGTATTTTCATTCTACTACCCCGGTATATTAGGAAATGCGAATTCCAACTTATATGGAATGATTACGTGTGTAAGTGTCCTCTAATAATAAAAACAAACATGGCTGCCATCAGAGTGTGACCGGACTCCACACAAAAAAGTTCGCTGATTCTGTTCTAAACTTTTTGAAATTCGGCATTCCCATGGTGTATCCTTGGAAGAAAAAGATGTATAATAATAAGGTTATTACGAGAATACCCCCAAAGTATGCACTCAGTCAGTACGCCGCGCACCGACCTCTTCTGCGCGTCGGTCGATACTCCAGCTGTAATGTCTTCGTGCATACTTTGAGGTATCCTCGTAATAACCTCATATTATGATTTATCATAAACTACGTTTTCAGGACGCCCGACAGTATTTGTTAGGTGACAAATCAAAACCACCGATATGCATGTGCATTGATTATTATTGTACGCACTAAAACACATGCGTGTTAGAAATTTTTATTTATTCATCGAACGAAAACTGTGTCATGATTTCATAGTGTAATGTATTGTTCAACATATCAAACAACAATATTAAAAAATCATATGTTCTCATTTAAATTGCATCTTCAATTCAACAATTACCTGTTCACTATATTTGTACCATTTCTTATTGATGCCCTGCCAGTACCACTGCCAATCTGTGGCAAATGGATGTCCATGTGGTGACCTACAGATTGACCAGGTAGAAAGGCGTCTTATGTTGAAAGATAGGGCAGTATCGATTCCATCAGTAGCAGTCATGCTTTCAAAGTCTATTATACATGGCCATCTGACGTCATCACTGATAAAAGAAGTGGAGATTAAAACGTATTTTTGTGAGCGACCTATATTTAACACACTGCATAACTACAACTCAACAAATAACAGTAATGAGAACTTATACCATGATTGTCTCGAATTGGCCAATTGGCGTTCTAAAATTTTCGTGGTCCGAATGAACAGACGTTTCCTGATACGCATGCGCAGTGATTGTTATTATTCATAACGAAACAACCGGTGCTCATGCGTATTAAAAAAACGTCGACGCTTTATACAACAAACATTTAACTGTGTGCTGTAAGAACCAAGTTTTTAATTCAATATAAATCACAATCCAAACGCAGTACCAAATAACATTACAAGTTACATAATGCATCTTTTAGTTACACGTATTGCCAATAATAATATCATTGACTAAAATCATACGTGTTTATGGTTTATGGTAAAATAACAATACGGCGATTGCAAAGAAACACAACATTGTTCGGTAGATGAAAAAATGATAAAACACGCTAATAGGCAGGTGCGTACCGATACAATCAGTGTACATGAGTATTTAACGTTATTGTCATGTTTCAATTCAATAAATAGATTAAAGAATGTCGTCATAACGAAGCCATAAAAAAACTTGCCTAGCGAACACATTAAACTCCTTGTTAGTCACATCCGAGTAAGCTTGTTCGATTCTGACGTTCGCGTCTTCCTCGAAACTGATCCATTCCGTTTCCGACCTTCCAGAATATTGCCAATGATATGGCAAACTGCAATGATGACATTCACAGTCGCTGCCAAAGTGACAGTTACCACGCAAGAAATACGTACAAATATAAGTATCCTTGTCAACAATGTGTGTTGTAGCACGAGACACTGACGGTGTCGTTGCTGAAGGTTGAGTTAGGGCTTGTTCTTCTTCTGACTCACCCGGTCCACGCAATAACTTAACTACTTCTTTCGGGCTCTGATGGGTGTCGACACCGTGCAGCTCTAGTAGAGCCCTGGGTTGTGGATCGAAGACATTATGCGAGCGTTTGCATTCCTGTTTTCGTGCATTTGTAAATCTGCAACCCCCTGTGATGTAGTATCTGCATACATGTAAACGAGTACACTTGCTTCTTCGTGAACAGCCACTTTTTACATTATAGGATTTGCATATATCTGGCAAAGTTTTGGGCACATTCGTCGCCATCGCGTTCGGTGCAGGGTGTGGAAATAGATCAGAACGGAATAAAACATGGCCGCTGTAAAACTATAATATATTTCCACGAAGAATTACATCATTGTAGGGGATTCCCCACCCTTTATCCCATATTGAGGTCAACTGAGTGGGGCGCTCGATCAGATGGCCAACTGCCCATATCGTATCTGGGTTAGCATTGCT